CTGTCCCAAAATAAATAAAAAACGTTGAAAAAAAAAATTTTTAACAAAAGTAACTGGGGGAGAATCCGATGACCTGAGAAGATAACCGAAGTAGAAGTGAACCTTGGGCACCCTCGCTCTGTTTGTTTCTAGCCCTTACACTTCTTAGAAGGAGACGTTCCGTCGTGCACTGGGGCTTCTAACCCTTTCCTGAGCGATTCCGCGTTGCATCTTTCCAGGCCTGTGCTGCTTGGTGGAGCCAGGAGGAGGTGCGGGGCTTTAGTCCCTTCAGACCGGGGTTCAGCTCCAGGCTCTGCTGTCTCCTTACCGGGAGATTTTAGGAACATGAGTTAACGTCTCTGTGCCTCCGTTTCTTCATGTTACTTAGTATAAGAAACTAGTGGCTTCCCTCACAGGTGGGAGTACACGAGATAGTGTAGGTAAGGCAACTGGAATGCTTTCATTCGTTTCGTAAACGCTTATTGAGTGCCTGCTGTATGCCAGGCACATTTTAGTGAACAAAATAGAAACGTGTGTGCCCTCAGTGGGAAGAAAGAAGGAAATAAGGAGTAATCAGAGACAGGAAGACGATAGAGCAGGTATAAAGGGGATGGAAAGTCGCTGGAGGGTCGTCAGGCCAGGAAAGCCGCCTCTGAGGAAGTGCTGATTTTGAGAGCCCTGGAGGGAAGGACAGAGCCTGGAGATCTGGGAGGGCCACAGGGTGTGTGCATCACGGGAGGGAGGCCAGGGCCCTCACTGCCCAGCAGAGGGAGCCGCAGGCACGGTGGCAGGAGCTGGTCCAAAGGAGCCAGGAGGCAGTATTGGAGTTGAGGTGCAGACTGTGTGTGGTGTTTATTCTGAGTGCGGTAGGAATCCTCACCAGTAAGGACTCGATAAGTACATGCTTTCTTCGCTCTGAGTTTTTCTTTCCTTTCCTTAAACAATATGAAAGCATTTCCTAAACTGTACCCAGTGATGTAGCCCAGGGCAAGTCATTTAGTCTTTGATTTTAGTCTGCCAAATGCCAGCAAGATTATACCTTCTTTAATCAATATACCTATAAATTAGTACTAATGTCGAGAAAGTGCTTTGAAATTTTGGAAAGTTATACAAATGTGGGTTACCCTACTGATTCCTGAGCCTTCTAGGGCCTTGGTCTGCGGACGTTGGCTGAGCATACCACTCTGCTCTGGTATTTGGGGGCTCAGTACTGGCTATGTTGACTGCTTCACCAGTGAAAAATTGTGTTCTTTGATCCTCAAACTCACATTTGGAGAAATAGGTCATTTGTCAGATGTCTCACTGGCATTTAGGGGAAGAACCCTTTATGTAGGCAAGATGGACCTGTGTCAAATGAAGTGCGTGCTGATGTGACAAGTGTCAGTGCAGTAGACTTGACAGAATTCCGAGGGAATAAATACCATACTCCATCATCACTGGAGTTGTGGGCCAACCATGGAAGGACTTACACTGTATAGAACGCTTATCATCAGGAGCTTTCTGGTAGTGAACTTGGAGGTGGTCCATGCTTAGAAATGAGAGGTGAATGGCATGTTTAACTTTTCTGAATCCAGTTAATGTTACTTTTTTTCTTTCTGAAAATGTATCTGTTACTTGATTGTATCTGTTGGTCAGGTTGTTCAGAAATACTGGAGTAACATAGATTTGGGGAGAGAAAATCATCTACACTGTCTGCTACAGAGAATTCTCTGCTACATTCATATGTGAATGGTGTCTTAAAAATTTTTTAATTTTGGGGGTGCCTGGGTAGCACAGTCATTTAAGCGTCCAGCTCTTGACCTCAGCTCAGGCCATGATCTCATGGTTTGTGAGTTCGAGCCCCACATCGGGCTGTGTGCTGATGGCGTGGAGCCTGCTTGGTATTCTGTCTCTCCTTCTCTCTGCCCCTGCTTGTGAGCACTTGCGCGTGCTCCCTCTCGCTCTGTCGCTCTCTCTGTCTCAAAAACAGAAAACATAGACTTTAAAAAATCTTAAATTTTTCCAAGAGATTTCTCAACTTTAGGGTAAGAAACCTGAAACCTCTTATTATACATAATCATCTTAAGCTTGGGAAGTTCTTCCTTATGTCTGGCTCAGATCTTCTACAATTTGAGTATATTTCTTCTTCGTTCGTGCAAATGGAAAACAGCTGTTCAGCCTTCCCCCATAACAACCTTTCATGTTCTTGAGGATGGTTATTAAATCCCTCCCCAGCCTTCTTTCCTTGGGACTAAATAGTGCCTTTAACCGATCTTCAAAGTGCCCATTTTCCACTCCTTTAATCATCTCCTGGTCTCTCCTAAGCTTTTCTCCATCCTTTAAATGTGGATGCCAAATTGGAACGCAGTATTCTATGGAGAGTCTCACAGTGAACTGGGATCGCTACCTGTTCAGGCTGTCGCATGTGATCGTCATTCATGTGGGACTCCAGCCATCTCACCAACATCCAGAAGGATGAGATGTGGGACGGACAGTTCCCTCCGCAGTTGGGCTGGGCCTGGGCGTGGCTGCAGCCAAGGATTTGGAGGCTGAGGCCTTTAGCAACCCACAAGCCAGGTGCATTCTAAGAAAAATTTGCAGGCCTACAAACCCCCGCCTCCCCATCCTGAGTTTGGCAACCAGTTCTGTAGTGTGGGAACCCTTTCCCAAGTGCTGTTTCCTCTTAGGCAGAACCATCCTGCGAAGGACTTCACTGCTGGTTTCCACGCCTGAGTCAAATTTACATGCAGGCAACATGAAGTCCCTCGGGGTCTGTCACTTCCTCCCCCAGACAGCTTCCTTTTGGAACAGATCTTTTAGGACAAGTGGCATTAATTTCTGTGTCTAAACTCATTGAAATCACAGAGGAAGGAGAATCTCACAAATTGTTCAGTGAGCTCAGGAAGGTAAACAAATTAATTGTCCAGTGTCCACTGTCAAGAATGAGAGAGGTAATGTGTCATTGAAATTGTCTTAATCATGTGCCATCTCTGTTGTTCGGGGCTTCGATTGGGTCACTGACGAGTGACCTTTTCTTATCCTCTCCCGCTCCGTTTTCCCCAAAAACTCAAGTTCCTTGGGTGTAAATGGTCCTGGTGTGGGGATTTTCAGAATCACAAGAATGGAGGCAGGTATACAGGACTAGAGTTCCATTGTTTACTTCAGCAGGCTTGTGTTCGAGCAAAGCCCAGCCTGGGGGCTCTCAGACACTTCCCTCCTTGGTCAGCTCCTGCAGGAAGCAGACATCTGGCATCAGCCGTTGGCCAACATGTGACCTTGGACAAATACAGGAGGGCAAGAATGAGTTTTGACCAGGGTGATTCTGTAACAAGACTCCATGTAGGCAAAGCCTAAATTAGCATGACTCTCTAAATACTGCAGGGCCTGAATGAATGATGTGTGTGACCAAGAGATTTGCTGACAAATGATATGAAATCCTTACTATATTTTCCCTCTCTCCAAGATTTTGGAGCTCATTAAACAATGTCTCCTTAAGCAGTGTCTCACAGGTCAATTGTCTTTGCGCTTTTGAGAGAAGTACTAAATTTTGCATTACAACCAAAACGTGTGGGTACCTGAGACATCAGGTTTGGGATGACTGATTCCTGGGGTCATTTGGAGTCCTCTACATTTCACAGTAAGATACAGTACGGAGAGTGCCGACTGTTTGTGCTCGGGTACGTGTAAGTTCAGAAGGGTGCATTTCCATGGAGCGTGCCCACTCTTCATTGAAAGGGAGGCGGATGATCCTGGTTCCATTCTGATTAATCACCAGGATATGCATGTACATTGCAAAGACATTTGTCCGGCCACCTAAGATCTTTGTCCTTCTTTAACGAGACTCACAATTCTAACGGGGTAAATAAAACTTCACCACAGGCGCTGCATGAAGCTGCCCGTCTGCCCCGCAGGCTGTGGACCCTGCAGGTGGGAAGATAATGCAACATGTAACTTCCTCACTTCTTGTTCTAGTCTAACAGGCAACCCGCTAAGCTGAACCTCCTCACCTGCCAAGTGAAACCAAACGCCGAGGACAAGAAGTCTTTTGACCTGATATCACGTGAGTCCTTTTTCTCTCCGGATCGGTGTGTGTGGCTTCTGACATACATCTCCATCTCCAGGCGTGCAAACAGCAGCTTTCCCAGGCAGGGCCCCTGGCGCTCCTGCACGGGCACGTTGCTACATTGACACTGAGCCCACCCGCGGGGCGGGGGGGGAGGCATAACAGGGTCAGATCTGACCCCCAGTGGATTCATATCGAGATCTGTACGTTAAACTAGACCAGTTCTTGACCATGAGCCCACAGTTTTATGCGCTTGGAGAGATTCTTCTAAGTGCATTCCTATTTCTCTCCTAGATCTGCTGAATCACAGTCTTTGCTGTGAAGCCCAGACATAAATATTTTTAAGAAGTCCCAGGTGATTCTGATGTGTACCTGTGGTTAAGAATCTCTGGCATGGGGCGCCTGGGTGGCTCGGTTGGTTAAGCGTCCAACTCTTGATCTCAGCTCAGGTCATGATCTCAACGGTGCGTGAGATCGAGCCCTGAGTTGGACTGTGCACTGATGTGCTGACGGCACAGAGCCTGCTTGGGATTTTCTCTCCTCTGTCTCTCTGCCTCTCCCTTTGCTCTCACTCTCTCTCTGTCTCAAAATAAATAAACGTTAAAAAAAAAAAAAAAAAAAAAAAACAAACAGAAAAATCTCTGGCATAGACTTGGGAGTGCAGGTGTGCCCCTATAACCCTACAGCGGACCTGCCCAGAGTTTTGTCCCTGCAAAACAGGACTCTTAAAAATCATCTTGCTTCCAAGAAAAACTGCCTTCTAACCTCCCAAATGGACGACACTGCATGCCATCACTCTCTCACTCCATGGGTCAAAGTACGCTTTTCCCAGTGATGAGGGCTCATAAAGACCCTCCCATCCCCCAAGCTATGGCCTGTATCTTCATGGTTTGCAGAGAGTGGGGTAAGATTGTTTTCCTCTAGACCAGCTCCCTGTGCTTAACCCTGGTCCCATGGTTGCACTGACGGACCCCCGTGGTCACTGAAGGGACACCTCTTTATAAGGGAAGAGGACAGTAGGACCGATAGTGACTCACCAGTATTATGAAATCCTACATATTAACCTTCAGTATTCTCCCTTCTCTCTAGAGCCCTGTGGGGCTGTCCACCAGCTCAAGTGCACAATCTGTGTGCACAGCACAGAAATACTTATCTGCCCCCTTGAAATCCTCTGATGGAGTTGTGTGAATAGAAGCCCCAAAACAGTTTCAACCCAAAAGGCTCAATCCGTCGTGAGACCCTTTAGATCCAAGCTGGATTATGCAGCATCTATTAAAGTTCAGAGTCCCCATGATTTTTAGGACCAAGAAATTTCTCAGACTATTGAGGAGAAAGAAATATGAAAAGTGGGAGTTATGACCCCAAAAAGCCAAGAAATCCTAGACTTGAGAGCCTGTAGCTTATTAATAATAGTCATCCGTTACCGAACATCTGGTATGTGCCAGGGGCTTTATAAACATTATGGCTGATCCTCACAAAAGCTCTATTAATTTCCTGTTTTATAGAAGAGAAAACTGAGGCTCAGAGACATTCAGTGATTTACCCAAGGTCACACAGCAGTAAAGCAAGATTTCTCAGCCAGGGTTCTTGGGCTCAACCACGCATGGCGTGTTCTTGGACAAACACATTCTCTGTCTCTCTCTCAAGGAGATACAGGGTGTGAGTACTTGACCTGCAAGGAGATACAGGGTGTGAGTACTTGACCTGGAGCAGTCACGAAGCAAGTGACTGGTTAGTACAGAAAGGTTAGTTGGACCTATGTTGAAGCAGTCTAGCAAATCCTGCATTTTAAGAAAGAGTGTCCATTGCATACGCCTGCCCAAACTATCCAGGTTAGGCTGTTCCCTCCTTACCCGGGTAGCAGCTTGAAGGTGCCTCTCAAGCAGGGTTGAAGCCCTACCTCCCTGAAGCCTGATTTAGCCAGAGAGCAACCTGGGTCAATGTATGCCTACTTGTAGGGGCTGCCCTGTGAGTTAGGGATCATTGAAGAAAACGATTTTTTTTTTTTTTAATTTTTTTTTTCAACGTTTATTTATTTTTGGGACAGAGAGAGACAGAGCATGAACGGGGGAGGGGCAGAGAGAGAGGGAGACACAGAATCGGAAACAGGCTCCAGGCTCCGAGCCATCAGCCCAGAGCCCGACGCGGGGCTCGAACTCACGGAGCGCGAGATCGTGACCCGGCTGAAGTCGGACGCTTAACCGACTGCGCCACCCAGGCGCCCCGATTTTTTTTTTTAAAAAAGAAACAGTAAAAGGCAAATTTAAAATGACAAGTAAAATATTGAACTGGCAGCCAGCAGTCTCCAGTTGACCAGCTGGTCACTGAAATCCACTTCGATCACATGGGATCTCTCCCCCTTCCCATTTTTCTTTTTCACAAAAAAGTGCCCGATACCAGGTATTTGCAGTTATTTTGTTGTATTACTCTTGCACTTCAGAAAAACAATACCGACAAAGTGAATTGTGTAACTGCTAAATCAAAATGGTGTAAAAACAAATTATACTAAGATTTTACTTTTATGGTGTTGTTTTTTTTTCTCCAGAAACTTTTCATAATTTACATTATACCTGCAGGTGTTCTGCTTTCTAAAGTCTGGCTCTTTTTCTGTTTTGTGTTGTAGATAATAGGACGTATCACTTTCAGGCAGAGGATGAGCAGGATTATGTGGCGTAAGTAGTTCTGATATAATGGCCCGGGGTCCTGAACCGAACAGGCACCTCTCTCCTGTACCACGTACCTTGAAGTCTCCTTTTTATTACCGAGAACCTCTCCTCGTGGCTCCGCACACTCGCGTCTCACCCGTGGCCCTTCACCTGTCACTCCGCTCTCTGTCCGGGAGCTCAGTGGACTCCCACGCTCCCTTCAGGATTCGGCTCAGGCCTCACCACTCAGGGGCTCTGTTCCTTCCGTCACCCCTGGGCCTGCTCACACTCCTTGATGAGCCTCGGGTTCGGTCTGAGCCCTTTACGGACTGAGAGCTCCCCAGGGCAAGGACCGTGCCTTACTCACCTTTAATCACATCGCCTGCACGTCGCCCGGTGCTGAACCAGTCTGCCGGGTGCTTGGCTGTTACCTGAGGGGAGCAGGAGAGCCTGGCCCTGCGGGAACAGGGCAGGCAGGTGGCTCCCGGGGGTGAGCATGGCTCAGGAGCCTCGTGTCGTGGGGGGAACGGGCTTTGGTGTCACACGCCCCTGGGTTGGGCTCCTGCCTCACCTGACCCAGGGATGCAGCCTCGGCCAGGTCCCCACCCCCTTTCGTCATGTTCTCCCTGGTCCCAGGCTACCTCATTCCCTCTTCCTTCCTGTAGCCTGCCACCTGCCAGGGCTGAAAAAAGCAGCGTGGGGCCATTATATCTTCAGCTGCTTGGGAGAGAGGATGTTTGCGTTAAAGCTGGCAGTTAAACCTTTTGGTAGCATTCACATTTTCAAAGCCCCGTCCCGTTGGAACACACAGTAAATGCTATTTTCCTTCCTTAGTGATTTCTGGGGAGCCACAGAATTCTGTTCACCCCCATTTCTCCTTACACTTACTCCTTTCCTCTCTCCCTCTACCTTCCTTGCTCTCCTCCTCCTCTGAAGAATTCCACTCTTTCCCCATTTCAGGAGAAATGATAAAGGATCAGAAAGAATAAAGAATGGGTCGAAAAGATGTACAGTTGGAAGAAACAGAGCAAAAAGGGGCAGGAGGGTGGGCGGGCACTGAGAGAGAAGGTAGGAGAGATTAAGGAAGAGGAGAAAAGTCTTTATCCCGTTCATTCATCTGAACGGGATTCACTGAATGCCAGCTCCAGGCCAAAAACTGTGTAAAGCACAGAGAATATAGCGCTAAGTTAGGCAGAGCCCCCTGCCCTGAAGAAACTCGACCTCTGCTGGAAGAGAAGGGCGGTGTGCTGTGGCACACGTGGGAGCACGCACCCCCTTGGGTTCTTGGGAGTGTGGCTCCGAGACAGTGTCCTCCTAGGAGGAAAGCTGTGTGAACGGCTCATGACGGTGCCAGAGGGTTATAGATACTCTGCGCTCCACATGCACGCTCCCCTGGCCTGGAAGCGATGGGAAGGAATAGAAAGGAAGCAAGGGATGTGGCTGATCATGGGGTTGGCTAGCTGAGAGCGGCTAGACGAGAAGTAACACCAGGAGAGGCCGGGAGGGAGGCCTTCCACCCTCAGACTCACGGAGGTCGTATTTATTGAGATCGCCCTGCACGTCGTGCGTGTCGGGCTCTGTTACTCCTCACAGCCCCGGGAGGCAGACACTGCTCTCCCTCCTTTGAAAACGAGGGCACTAAAAGGCAGCGCACCCATGGTCACAGTCCCAGTAGCCCAGGGGTCTTCTGGGCAAGTTGGGGAAGGGAGTCCTTCGGCCTACCGCGGGTGTCTCCTTGCCCGCAGTATAGGTGCTCACTGTGGGCGAGCGGGGGCTCGCCTACGGTATCGCTCATCTTTTCAGTCACAAGGTTGGCTTAATTGTGCCCGTTTTGCAGATGATTTAACAAATCAAGTGAGGTTAAGTGACTTGTTTAAGGGCTCAAAACAAAATGGTAGAAATGTGATTGCAATGCTGGCCCTGCTGGCCCGTGCAGTTTCCAGTTCACTACATTGTGTGATGAGAGGTCACGGGTTACAGGTCACTCAAAGGTGAGAGCGTCGAGGAATCCAGACCATCACGTTTGCCTTGACTTGGGTGGCATCGCTTGGTTTACTTCTGGGAACTTCATCCCCCTCCTTTATTAAGACATGGGACCAACAGTAGGTGCCTGGTTAAGGCCTTTGTTGGAAGGTAGCAGTGAAAGGTGGTGCGAGCAGGTGAGCATCGCTGGCTGTGACAGGTGTCACTGGTTCCTGCTGGAAAAGGTACAGCAGGCGGTCACATGTATGGGCACTCCTGACACGTGTGCCATTAAGAATTTCCTAGCCAGAATTCCAAAACCACCTTGGAATATTATTTCCCCTTCTCATGTTTCACTCTTTCCTCCTTTTTTCCCTTCTCCAAACCCCCAAATGGGAGATTTATGTGAGGCAGGGAACGCATCTGCTGCTTCTTTGTCCTCAAACCCAAGCCATTACTATTGTATTTTTTCTGTGACTTCCAGAGAATTCAGTCCCCAGTTTGGGCAAAGAGGTGTATAGGCTTCTTACCCGTGAGACCGAACGCCCTTCAGTGAAAGGCTTGCTGAGCCCATCGGGCAGGTGCCACACTTGGCCTTCCCTGGGGCTGGAGGTGGCAGAAGGGGGCTTTGCTTTGAGTGACGAGGGAGGTAACAGTGGAGGGAGCATACACCCCCGGGCTTGGGTCCTCATTTACCTGCAAGCTGCATAGAAACAGTTTGGCTGCACCCTCGAGTTTCTTTCTCACGGAAAGTGTCCGGGGAAATTAAACGTAGAGCTGCATTCTCACCGAGGGAGGAGGTGGGCACCAGAGAAAGCAGCTCCCTGTCTGTTTCAAGTCAGGCTGAGGACAAGTCAGGTCCAGCCTTCGCCCCCTAGTGGCCGTTTGACCTTGAGCCTGATCAGCCCCTCAGTCTTCTTTCTTTCTTTCTTTTTTTTACAAAGATTGTTTATTGTTTGTTTGTTTGTTTGTTTAAATTCAAGTTAGTTAACAGACAGTGTAGTCTTGGCTTCAGGAGTAGAACACAGTGATTCATCTCCTACGTGGGAAACCCAGTGCTTATCCCAACAAGCGCCCTCCATAATGCCCATCACCCATCTAGCCCATGCCCCTCACCTCCCCTCCAGCAGCCCTCAGTTTGTTCTCTATATTTAACAGTCTCTTCTGGTTTTCCCCCCTCTCTGTTTTCATCTTATTTTGCCTTCCCTTTCCCTGTGTTCATCTGTTGAGTTTCTCAAATTCCACATATGAGTGAAATCCTATGATATCTGAATTTCTCTGATTGACTTATTTCACTTAGCATAAAACACTGGTTCCCTCCACATTGCTGCAAATGGCAAGATTTCATTCTTTTAAGTTGCCAAGTAACATCCCCTTGTATGTATATATACACCACATCTTCCTCATCCATTCATCAGTCGATGGATATTTGGGCTCTTTCCATACTTTGGCTACTGTTGTAAACATCGGGATGGGCGTGCCCTTCAAATCAGCGTTTTTGTATCCTTTGGGTAAATACCTAGTAGTGCCATTGCTGGGTCGTAGGGTGGTTCTCTTTTTAATTTTTTGAGGAACCTCCACACTGTTTTCCAGAGTGGCTGCACTGGTTTGCGTTCCCACCAGCAGTGCAAAAGGGTTCCTGTTTCTCCACATCCTCGCCAGCATCCGTTGTTGCCTGGGTTGTTCATTTTAGCCATTCTCACGGGTGTGACCCACCTCAGTCTTCTTGTCAGTAAAGACGGGGATCACAGACTTTGCTCAGAGGCTTTGAGACTCCAGATAAAATGTGTAAAGCTTCTGGTACAGCGCCAACATTATTAATCCTGTAAACTCAAAGCAACTTTAGAGTCTTAGAACACAACTGTGCATTATTTTCTGTCTTGCACTTTTTGGTATGCCTGTTACTTTACAATAATTTAAAAAGTTTATTTTTTTAATTGTCAGAAATAGCTGCTTTGGTTCTTGACCCTTTGAGACATAGTCTGTTCCACCAAATTTGAACTATCCTTCCAGAAAATGCATTGCTCTTAAAATACGTATTTTCTACTTGTCACTACCACCTCCTCTGTTTCTTTACTTGTCCTGATCTCTTGAGTGAGGAGGCACACGTGGAGTGACGAAGGAACACTGGGAAGGAGGGGGGTCAGCAGGCATGTCTCTGCTGGAGGACCTCGTGAGCCCCTAAACCTCTCCGGGCTTCTGCGTCCTCATCTCTAAGATATTGTCACCCTCAACGCAGAGGTTTGCTGGAGGACTACATCTCAGAAATCCTCAGTCCTCGGCACACAGTAGACACTGGCATTTCAGATAACCGGAACATCACGAAGCTTAAGGAAAGCAAAACAGAGATTCTGCAGACACGGTGCAAACTCCAGTCACCCAGTGCCGCTGATTAACACGTTGTTGAGCCCAGTGTTTTGCATTATTTTTCAGAAAACAATTTCTAGTCTTTAACTTGAAACTAAACGATAGAGAAAATGTCCTTTAATTTAAAAGGTATTGGGGGCACCTAGGTGGCTCAGTCGGTTGAGTGTCCAACTCTTGATTTCAGCTCCGGTCATGATCCCGGGGTCATAGGATTGAGCTCCACAGCAGTTTCCGCGCTGAGTGTGGAGCCTGCCTGGGATTCTGTCTCTCTTTATCTCTCTGTGTCTGCCCCTCTCCCCAGCTTTTGCTCGCTCTCTCTCTAAAAAAATAAAATGAAAATCAATTAATTTCAGGGGTGCCTGGGTCTCTCAATCGGTCGAGCATCTGACTTAGGCTTAGGTCATGATCTCACAGTTTGTGGATTTGAACTCTGAGTTGGGCTCTCTGCTGTCAGCGTGGAGCCTGCTTCGGATCCTCTGTCCCCCTCTGTCTGTCCTTCCCAGATCATGCTTTCCTTCTCTCTCTCAAAAATAAATAATAAACATTAAAAAAAATCAATTTCTAAGTTTCCTCCCCGACAGTGGACTTCCAGAGCACAGGTGCCTTTTGCAAAACTCTTTCTTGCCTCGTGTCCACTTGTCACCAGTTCTTTCTCATCCTCGCATTGGGTTGGCCCCACACAGGGCCCTCTTCATTCTGTCCAGATGGAAACGCACGTACCGTGTCGTCCGTGCAAGCCCTCCGTTGTGTTGATCTTGCATTTCATCCACTCCTCTCGTGTCTCTCGGTTTCTCCAGCATGTTGCTTTGCGTTCTCTTAACTTTCTCTTGCCTTTGAGTTTAATTTCTTTCATTTTTCCTCACTGTATTGCTGTGGGGGGTGGGCGGATTCTCTTTTGGAAGCTCTTGACGGAAATAAATTTTTTCCAGTGGAAGGAGGAGACGGCGGCCACACTCTTAAGTCTCCTTCTTCTTTCTTTCAACAACAGATGGATCTCCGTATTGACAAATAGCAAAGAAGAGGCCCTGACCATGGCCTTCCGTGGAGAGCAGAGCACAGGAGAGAACAGCCTGGAAGACCTGACGAAAGCCATCATTGAGGACGTCCAGCGGCTCCCCGGGAATGACGTCTGCTGCGATTGTGGCTCGTCAGGTATTTGCCCCCAAACTTGAGCCGGCTTGTTACACAGTCTTTCTCCCCCTGTAGAATAAAAATGAGCTCGTTATTTAAGTCCTTGTCTCCTCATGGGCACAGACACACGCCCACCATGTATTTCCAACTTGAATGGTCCCAATTCTGAGCCGCTTTGACGCATGCCATTTGCTTAGCTTGGAAAACTCCCACCTGCTCTCCCCAAATGGTCACCTGCCCAAATGCTACTGGTTAAATGAGCACTGTGGAACTATGGAGAGAGCACCAGACATGGAGTCCATCATCCTGGTTTTGAATCACCAGCCTGCCACTTAACAGTGTGGACATCCTCATGCCGAGTGCCTTTACTGTTCTGATCTTTAGTTTCCTCGTCCCAAGATGGGACAGTAAACCTCAGTTGTTATGAGGACTTAATGAAATCGTCCGACACATTATACCTTTCTTTCCTTCCTTTCTGCGCTCCGGGGAACCTCCCCAACCTCTATGTCACATGGGTGTCACCTTCTTCCAAACTTCTGTTTTCAAGGACCATCTATATTCTGTAGGTATTGACGGTAGCTGACATGACTTCAGTGCTAACATTGTGATAAGGACTCTGCTGGTTGTGTTTTAGCTTATATTCTCTTGCTGAATGCTCACAGCTGCTCTATGAGCAGGATACTAGCATCATCACCGTCTTACAGATGGGAACACGAGGGGACTCCAAGAAGTTAAGTGACCTACCTCCCAGGCTCGCCCATCTAGTAGGGATCAGAACATGGTTGCAAACATGGGTGATACGCCCAAGCGTATGATACGCTTTCTCATTGTTTTCCATATGAAAATGGCCTCTACACAACACACCATGAGCACCTCAGAGACCAGTCTCCCAATTTCTGCTGTGTTCATGTGCATGTGTGATAGTGACTCACGCTGTGTGTGCGAGGATATGGCAGAGGAGTCATAAGTACCCGGGTACTGACCACTCAGAAGGAAGCTTACCACAGAGCACGAACCCTGTAAGTTTTAGTAACGTGGAAATCCGTATTCCCCCTGTTGTGGGGCCCTTGAGGATCATAGGAACAGCTGAGGTCTGTGAAAGCAGCCTCTGACATTCAGTATTTACGGTCGTCTTATCACCAGGAGGATGGGTTAATGCGTGTCGTAACTGGGAGGTTAACCACACCTGTGGAACCGCGTCCGTCACTGGCGAGGATGACGCGGGTGGTGCGGGAGTGCCTCTCCCCAGGATGTTTCGTGTGCCTCACAGGACAAGGCTTCCTCACATTTTCACGAGAATAAAGAACTTAATTTTGTTTTCAATTTAGGGTTGAAAGAAAATTCTTTAGAATGTCTCTTAGCCGTTTTGCTCTCTGACAGGCTGGTAAGCTTCATGTTAGCCCCTAGGCTAAACCACAAGCATCCATTTCTTCCCTTTAAATCTTTCCCTTTTAACTCTTCACAAGTTTCACTACTCTTACTCTAGCTTCCTTTGTAGTTGGCACACTAAAAGTAGGTATCATGTTTGTTTCATTGTCTTCAAAATGTTCTTTCCACACAGAACCCACCTGGCTTTCAACAAACTTGGGCATTTTGACCTGTATAGAATGTTCCGGCATCCATAGGGAAATGGGGGTTCATATTTCCCGCATTCAGTCTTTGGAACTAGACAAATTAGGAACTTCTGAACTCTTGGTAAGTAGTGACCTGTGCCTAGAAATATATATTGCCGTAAATATATTTAATACGTGGCTTTGGAGTTTTTTTTTGTTTCTGCCGAGTACAGAGAATTCCAGTTCCTGCATTTAGTGAATTTGCGTGGATATTTAAAATGTAAATCTTGTGGTATGTAACGTTGACTGTTTCTGTTTCCTTTTTGAAGAACTGGTGAATCATGCATTTCTATAATTACTTCAACTAAACTGACTCTTTTTTTCTGGGATGGGCTTTTTTCAAAGCTGCCTTCTTTCAGAATTAGTTTTTATATGATTCACTCACTAGAAGAGCAGTAAAGGGAATTAGGTGTTAAACTCACATGATCACTTTACCCAGTGGCCTGTGTGAATAAAAATAAAGACTAAAGAGTCTTTCTGTTTTTACTGCTTATAAGCTTGTGTAAGTCCCCATGAAGTGAGAGTGGCCTGTTAGCTACAGCCATAAAGCCCATCGCTCCTTAACCCCGAACTTGTTCAGCTAGTGAGGAGAAATAGGGTGCGAAGGGACGGTGCTGAGATTCATTACGTGGAATGAATCTGTCCTTCCCGTCACGAGTCACCCAGATCAGGAGCCCTCGTTGGGTCCAGGCTCTGCTGGTCCCTGCAGTAAGTACTCCAAGTAAAGGAAGGGAGGCCCGCTTGGGGTCTCCCATAATGCCTTCTGGTCAGAAGCCCTGTCTTGCATGATTTGAACACGGCTGCACTGTGAGGGAGTCTTTTTACTAAGGGTAAAGGTGCTTGAAGCAAAACAGGGCCCTTCGTACAGAACGCTCTTGGGCAGAACCTGAGGGAGCCTGGGGCTCAAAAATCTGAAAGCCTAGCTTATCACTAGCCTTGTCTGGAGAAAAGGACCCAGAAGTCGAGGCACTTAGCCACCCAGCCAGCAGCATTTGCTTTCTGAGCATCTGCTAAGCAATGGCGGTACGTCTGTGTTGTGTGAGCCCCTGGTTGAGGAAGTATCATACTAATGCTCAGCTTCCTGACTCACTTCAGGATTAGAGAAGAAAGGCTCCGATCTAATACTTGACACATTCTTCTTTAGTGTGGAGGTGGTGTCATTCCCGCCTTAAGGTAGTTAAACCAGTTGACAACCAGAAACAGGGAGAGTCCAAGTCTGAAATACTTGCCAGGTGATAAGCCCAAGATTTTCCCCCCAGAGTGCTGATAGCATGAGTGTTTCTTAAGCTATACGTTGTCCCCCGAATTATCCAAACGACCAAAAGACCTTCAGGACAAATTCTCCTGGAAGGGTCTTGAGCCCAGAAGCGAAATGCTTCCTGCAGCATCCTGATGTGTACCCCAAATGTAAAGGAGAATCCCACATCCTTCTCTGTCCAGTAAGAATAAATCTGCTCAGCCTAAAATTGCGGTGTGATCGAGCTTGAAAAATTATTGCTGTCATTTAACCTAGATTCGTATGTGGAACCTGCTGTCCAATCTCAGTGTGTGTGTGTGTGTGTGTGTGTGTGTGTGTGTGTGTAGGACCATATCCTATTCTATTCTAGCATTTATCATGTTGTATTTGTAAAAATTACTGGTTTTCTTATTAATGACCCTTCTAGTCTTTTGGCTCTTACAGAAAGGAACATGGTTTATCCATCTCTTTATTTTCAGTGCCCTAAAGTTCCATACTTGCACATAGTAGGTGCTCATTGAGTATTTGCTGACCAGATGGATGGATGGTTTGTATTCTGAGTCAGGGAAAAGATATGTATTTAGAAATCTCAAAAGTAATAATAGGAAACTCTTAAGCTAGTATAAAGAGTGACTGTATTGTGTTTTGTATGTTACAGCTGGCCAAGAATGTAGGAAACAATAGTTTTAATGATATTATGGAAGCAAATTTACCCAGCCCCTCACCAAAACCCACCCCTTCAAGTGATATGTAAGTACTTCTAATAGACTGAATTCTTTACTATTCTGTAATTGTTCTTCTGCCCTCCCAAGAATCGTCTTAAAGGTTATAGTATTTTTTTCCCCAGAGGAAATCCCATTATGAGGAAAGCTCAGAGCACAGAAAAGTATTGTGGAGTGAGTGCATTTCTGGAGTGCTGGAGTGCACAGATTATGTTCCCTGGCCCCTTCCCCTAGGTAGTTGCAGCCGCTCTGTGGAGAAAGTGTCTTCATGTCAACAGTTCATTCCAAATCATGGCCTGTTGTGAAAACATTAACACGTATTTATTTTTGAGAGACAGAGCATGAGTAGGGGAGGGGCAGAGAGAGAGAGGGAGACACAGAATCCGAAGCAGGCTCCAGGCTCTGAGCTGTCAGCGCAGATCCTGACCCAGGGCTTGAACTCACAAACCGCAAGATCATGACCTGAGCCAAAGTCGGACACTTAACCGACTGAGCCACCCAGGCTCCCCACGGCCGTCTTATCTTAAAAGGACTTTGACCTGAGGGTAAAGAACACCCATGAAAGTCAGATCTTGGTTACCAAGCAGAATCTACCAAAGTCTGCCGTCAGCCAGCTCGCCCCTCACTGCCGACCAGAATGAAAGAGGCATCACCTCGCTTTTAAACAGTGATGGCTGTGGCTGTGAGATGGGGCGGTAGCAGGCTCCACACACGGAGAGGCTTTTTGTGAGCAAGAACTCTTAAAAGTCCGGGGAGTTGGAGCTCTCTCAGAAAGAAGAAAGCGTCTTGTAGGTGCTGTGCATTCTTTCATTCAAAGGACGCCAATGAGTTATTCTCCCCGTTTTCAGGTGAAAAAAAATTAAAGCTCATGAAGATTTAGTAGTGCGACTGATGTGCTATAGAACTAGGATTTGAACCCAAAATCCATCTACTGCTTTTTTTTATTAAGTGGCTCATGTAACTAGGAAAGTCACAGGGTGAGTTCAGGTATGGTTGGTTCCAGGATGTCAAACAGTATCCTCTGGACCCTAGCTGGCTTGCCTGATTCTCCCCTCCCTTACTCTGAGCAGACTTCCATTCGGCCTTTGTGCAAATGGGGCCACTTAGGTCAGATAGCCCTGCAGCTGGGAGGTGGGCTCAGTCCCAGAGCTTGGGACAGACCTTAAAAGCGGAGAAAGGATGAGTCCTCAAGAAGGAAATGCACACGCCCACTCACACTTCGGGTGTGTTACCCCTGACAGTCTCCTGTTCACAACTGCACCTGCAGGAAAGACAAGCCATCTTTATTGGTCTTTATTCTGGCACTCAGTGCTTGGCCTGGGGGTGACCGTAAGGAGGGCCTTAGTGAGCCTCCATGTTCTTAACTGTTCACATAAGGAGTTGTGTCAGAAGAGTATGATTTTTTCATTGAAGCTCTGGAAACTTCACTGGTCTTTTAGAATCATTCTTTTAAAATTTCTGTTTTCTTTGTACAATTAGGTGTATCTGATTTTAAGTAGTAAAGAGCAGATTTCTCTAGCTGTTGTCGAGGTGGAAAAAAATCCACTGTGATCTTCGTGCCCATGAATTTTGTAACTATAGATTGCCTGCACAAACACTAGTAACTGTATATCAGTTTCTTCATTCTGTGATGGGATAATGGGATAAGTTGGTCTGAAACCTGGTTGGTTTAAATGCTAAAAAGGAGTATTGGGGAGTATATTTCACTTAAAGAGAACTGTTTTTCAGAAAAATGTAGAGTTTTCTTAGCTCGTAGAAAATAAAAAATGTTTATATGTTGCTTTGCTCTACTTTAGGACTGTACGGAAAGAATATATCACTGCAAAGTATGTAGATCATAGGTTTTCAAGGAAGGCCTGTTCGTCTTCATCAGCTAAACTGAATGAATTGCTCGAGGCCATCAAATCTCGGGATTTACTTGCACTAATTCAAGTCTATGCAGAGGGAGTAGAGCTAATGGAACCACTGCTGGAACACGGACAGGTAAGGCTCCACTAAAATCGTAAGATGAAAGGGAAGGTAGAAAATGACTTTAAAAGCTAACTCCTTTTATTAGAACCCTGCAGAGTGAGATTCTGATACATCGAGTGACCATGTCTAAGTCAGGACAATTTGAGAGTGGAAGGGCGCTATTAATAATTACTTCAGGGTGACTGATGTGAACAAAGCTGCTGTAGGCAAAGTAGGACATGCGATCACCTTACTTATACTCATCGTGTCCTTTTCAGGAGCTTGGGGAGACAGCCCTACATCTTGCAGTCCGAACTGCAGACCAGACCTCTCTCCATTTGGTTGACTTCCTTGTGCAAAACTGGTATGCTTTTTGTTTTCTCTGAATATGCCTTATCGTTCACACCAACCAGTCTTCTCAGTGGCCCAGATCAGATATGGACAAGCATTCAGTAAAGGCTTTACAGGCCATGAGGTCTCTGTCGCAGCTATTCAACTCTACCTAGTGTGAGAACAGTCATAGAGTATGTGTAAATGAGTGAGCATGGCCATGTCCCAATAAAGCTTTATTTATAAAAACAAATGGAGGGCCAGATATGGCCAACAGTAGGCTATAGTTTGCCAACCCTCGGCCTAGAAAGATGTAAAATCCTGTCTCTGTCCAAAACCTGCTGCATTAGGAAAGGTTGAAAGAGGGAAGACTTAACAACACAGGTCAACAGGATCTGTGAGTTTTCGTTGTTCATAAGTTCATTAAAAAACTACAGTGTGGGGGGCACCTGTTTGGCTGAATTGGTTAAGTGTCCAACTCTTCATCTCAGCTCAGGTCATGATCTCACTGTTCATGGGACCAAGCCCCATGTTAGGCTCTGCGTTGACAGCACGGGGCCTGCTTAGAATTCTCTCTCTACTTCTGCCCTTCTTCCATTCATTCGCGTGCGCTCTCTCTCTCTCTCTCTCTCTCAATAAATAAACATTTTTTAAAAAGTGCTACAGGGGCGCCTGGGTGGCTCAGTCAGTTGAGCATCCAACTTCAGCTCAGGTTATGATCTCACAGTTCGTGGGTTTGAGCCCCATGTTGGGCTCTGTGCAGACAGCTTGCTCAGAGCCCGGAGCCTGCTTTGGATTCTGTGTCTCCTTCTCTCTCTGCCCCTCCCCAACTCGCGCACCGTCTCACTCTGTCTCTCAGAAATAAATAAATGTAAAAAAAAAAAATTTTTTTTTTTAAATGCTACCACGTGTGTATCTGACTCAATAGCTAATTCACATTTGGGACATGCTCATGGGAGTATAATATTGAACACAGGCAGTTTGGACTTGCTGTATTCTTTAGTGGGTGGTTCTGTAAGCCACGGGATACAAGGAGGAACTGAGCTCGTCCAGAGGCGAGTGGTCAAAATAGCGAGGGGATTTGAACTCACATATGAAGAATGGTGCCTGGACACGAGCCCCGTTGTGTATGTAAATGCCCACACCTCTTCCTCAAATGTAGGACGGTGTAGTCTTTTAAGAGCCTTGGCTCTGGGACAGACTGCCTTTTTTCAGATCCCTGCTTGTCACCCCCGTGCCTCGACAGTCTTGAGAGCAAGCTCTTCATCCTATCTGTGCCCCAGCGTTTTCATCTGTGAAACCAAGGTGGTGATGGCCTGCCCCGCTGGGTGGTGGTGGAGAGTTAGTGAAGGAAGGTGCGGAAAAGCTGGGAGGCAGCACCTGTCCCACAGGAGGCACTGAAGACACGCTGGCTGTTCCTGTCATGTGGCTTAGACATGTGGGCGTGATGGTAGCGACATCGTGGTGTTTCCTGGGCTTACGAGTAGGTCTCCAACTTGACTCGGCTGTTAGCACCGAGAGAAGTGGTTAATCTGTGGCTTCAAATGCTATTATTTATGTCGCATTTAAATTATATTTGAAATTAGACTCTTTCCCGATAATACTTCATTTTTCAGTGGGAACCTGGATAAGCAGACAGCCCTGGGCAACACGGCTCTACACTACTGCAGTATGTATGGTAAACCCGAGTGTTTGAAGCTTCTTCTGAGGAGCAAGCCCACCGTGAGTGTCGGTAAGAGTGTGACCAAGCGTCTCCGTAACCAGTCCCAGCGTCCGGCCGGCTAAACCGAGACTCGCGTGTTACCTTGTAATTTGATTATTGTCCGTGGCCTCTTCAAGGTACACCTTAGGTAATTATGCACGTGCCTTTGCCCCCCGTTTCA